TATAAAATGTGGCATGGGAGAGTAGCATCCTACAAATACTTAAAAGTGTGGGGGTGTTTGTCTAAAATGGCTATTCATAGTCCTAAAAAGGCCAAGATAGGTCCTAAAACTGTTGATTGCATATTCATTGGTTATTCCAAGAATATCAGTGCATATCTGTTCTTGATTCATAAGTCAGAACATTCTGAAATGCATGTAAATACTATTATTGAATCTCGAAATGCATCATTCTTTGAACAGATATTTCCAAATAAGACTAGACAAGAGACTAGAACTAATAAAAGATCTTATGATGCCATTACTAGTCCTAATCAAGAACAAGATCAAAAGTTAGATCAAAATGAGGAAGAAGAACCTAGGCATAGTAAACGTGCTAGAATCTCAAAATCTTTTGGTCTAAATTTTCTAACATTTTTGTTAGAAAATAAGTCTTTAACTTTCCAAGAAGTTATGTCCAGTCCTGAAGCTCCTTTATGGAAAGAGGCTGTAAATAGCGAAGTTGAATCCATTTTGCAAAATCACACTTGGGAATTGGTGGATTTGCCATTAGGTTGTAATCCTCTTGGATATAAGTAGATTTTCAAGAGAAAAATGAAAACGGATGGATCAATTGACAAATACAAAGCAAGGCTTATAGTTAAAGGATATAGACAAAATGAAAGTTTTGATTACTTTGCCACATACTCACTAGTTACTAGAATAACATCCATTAGAATGCTGATTGTTATTGCATCTTTGAACAATCTAGAAATTCATCAAATGGATGTGAAAACAGCTTTCTTAAATGGTGAGTTAAATGAAGAAATTTACATGGAACAACCAGAAGGATTTTCTGTTCCAGGAAAAGAAAAGAAAAGAAAGTATGTAAATTGGTTAAGTCCAAATCTGTCCGGCACAACTCTGTCCGGCCCAAATCTGTCCGGCACAACTCTGCCCGGCCCAAATCTGTCTGGCACAAAGTCCATATCATTAATCTCCCTCTCAGATATCAAATAGATTCAAAATTAATGAATGTGACAAATGTGTTTATATTAAAAACATAAACAATGGTTATGCTATGGTATGTCTTTATGTAAATGATATGCTCATCATAGGTAGTAATAATGATATGATTAAAACTACCAAAAAAATGTTGAATAAACATATTGACATGAAAGACATGGGGATTGCAGATATAATACTTGATATGAAAATTACCAAAACATCAAAGGTTATGCTTTGTCATAATCCCATTACATTGAGAAAATACTTGACAAATTCAGCAAGGATGATGATCATCTCGCTACAACACTTGTGGATGTTAATTTGTTTCTTTCTAAAAATGTACAGAAAAGTATATCTTAATTAGAGTATGCCCAAATTATTGGAAGCTTAATATAGTTGATGAACTGCACTCGTCCGGATATAGCTCATGTAGTTAGTAAATTAAGTAGATATACGAGTAATCCAAGAGTAGAACACTAGAAAACAATTATAAGGGTTCTAAGATATCTCCGATTTACTCGTAACATTGGGCTCAATTATACTAGATATCCAGCAGTACTTGAAGGATACTGTGATGCAAAATGGATATCGGATACTAGAGACTCAAAATCCACCAGTGGGTATGTCTTTACTCTTGGTGGAGTGACTGTATCTTGGAAATCTTCAAAACAGACTTGAATTGCTAGGTCTACTATAGAATTAGAGTTTATAGCTTTAGATAAAGTTGGGATTCGTCACTTCCTTGAAGATATTTCAATGTAGCCAAAACTGGTGCCTGCCATATGCATACATTATGATAGTCAATCAGCAATTGGTAGAGCACAGAGTCATATGTATAACGGTAAGTCGGAACACATTTATCGTCGATGTAACATCGTGAGACAACTACTCTCTAATGGAATTATTTCCATTGAATATGTGAAGTCTAAATACAACATAGTAAATCCACTAACCAAAGAGTTAGCAAGAGAGTTAGTTGAGAATTCATCGAGAAGAATGAGACTTAAGCCTATTAAATAAGTGTTACCACAATGGCAACCCAACCTAGTTGAGTGGAGATCCTAAGATCTAGGTTTAAAGGGATAATCGAGTTGTGTATGACTCATAAGGATCATTGAGAGTCAAACTCCTACTTATTTCTATGATGAAATAGTGATGTTTGTAGCGGTTTAGGTTAAGTAATACTTTTAATGATTCTTATATCTAGGAATACCTAGTGGAGTATGGCAGGATACTCTTCATAAGAATCACCTATATGAGTATGAACTGGGCCCGTTCTATCAGATTTGTGAAGGGCTACGAGTTTTTAGAGCACTCATGAAAGACCAGATTGTTCAGTGCTAAAATGAACACAATAGTGAGAACTAAACTGTGTCTGAAAATATTCTGTGTGAGTTTTATTGTCTTAATTTACACAAATGGTTGAACAATTCAAGACATCGTGTTCACTAGTTAACTAGTAAATCTGATAGTGTCTCACAAAGGAATGTTCAAAACCAAAAGCTATCTATCATTTGCAGAATAACTTCGATTTTTGTACTCTTCGTAAAAAGATCATGTTATTTCATTTTCTCTCCGTCAAATTCTATTCATGTGGGGAATTATTGGAAATTATAGTTTTTTATAGACTTATTTTGGGTAAACTTTAAGTCCAAATTTGAGTGGGGCCCACATGTTTTTTGGGATAGGTTCAAAGAGGTGACATATTCCATACCGTATGGTAAGTCACACGGTGCAAATGGTTCGTCAAAACCATTTATGAGTGAATGGAAAGTTGACGTCATTTTCGAATTCGTGGAATGACAATTAAAGAGTAAAATGTGGGTTTTACTGAAATGATTGTCCCACATTGAAACTTTAAGAAATCTTGTATGTGTTTATAAGCTCTAGGTGGACAAACTTGGGTTGGGCCCCCAAGGGGCACCCCAAGTTTGTAAAATGGAGGAGTTATGGACAAAGTGGGCTTTGGCTCAAACCACCACGCACGCTACCACCGTCTGCCCTGCCGGGTGTGGGTTGGGTCGGTTATAATATTAATTTTTTGGACACAATTTAATGTTTGAGGGAAAATTATTTTTTCCTGAACAAAATTAACTCAAATTTTGTGCCAAATTTGAATTCAAATTTCCTGTCCAAATAGTGCCTCTTCCAGTTCCATTTCTAGCAGATTCAAATAGATTTTTCAACCTGTTTAAATAGATTGCACCAGAAAAATTTATTTCTTCCCAGACAGATTCAAAACTGTTTCAAATAGATTTGAATTTTTTCACCTATTCAGTTTGAATCTGTATTTATTCAGTTTGAATTTTGCACCTGTTTACTTCAATATGCATTTGCCTATAAAACAGACCCTCTTTTACCAACTTTTTGATTCCAAAAATTCTCTTCTTTCCTTCCTTTGTGCTCTCATGCATATATATTCTACATAATGTTTTTAGAAATTTTTTTGAGAATATAGAACACAGGTTTGGTTCGTCGTGCAGATTATTTGGAGTGCTACCACAATTTGTGTAAGATCGTTGTATCTTGGGAAATAGACGCCATTTATCCGTAAGCACTGGAGTGGGGCGAATCTATCTTAAGGATAGAGTGTCACATACTCGACTTGATCATTTTTGTACTTTTTCGTTTCGTTAAATAAATTCTGTAAGTAATTTATTTTTATTTGTTTGATTTGGTTTCAAGCTATTTATTTTACACAAAAATTATTTCAACAATGGTGTCGAAAATTGAGCACATATACATATACTGAGAATCAAATACATATGCAAATATTCTAGTGAATCATTGAGGAAATAATGCTATTTCCTTGAGAATTTTCAATATAATCCCATTTTGTATTTTCGACAAATTATTTGATAATTCTAGAAAAGTCAGGTACCTAGACTTTTGTATAATTGTTTGGAGTGTCATAAATAAGTATACTTTTTGTCTTTTTAGACTAAAAACTTGAGGAAAAAAATATGGATGTTTGGGTTAACTTTTTGACTTTTTATGAAAAAATGTGTATTAAGAAATTGTAAAAATTGGTTTGTAGGAGAAAATTAGTATTGAGAGTTGTAGAATTATGCAGCCGTAATTGTTGACTTTTGGTGAATAGTGTTAACTTTTTAACTTTTTGAGTAACTTTTTGATTTTTTGACTTTTTCTTATCTTCCCAAACTTGGCTTTAATTTCATCTTTAGGGGTTGTTTGAAAGTTAGTAATTTAATCAAAAATTCAAAAACTTGTAAAAAAATAAAAAATAAACTTGTTTTTGGTTTTCCAAAAACACTTTTCAAAAAATTTTACTTTATTATTTTTCGTATTTTTTTATTTTTACTGAATTTTTTTAATATTTTAAGCAATTTTTTTTATATAAATTTTTAGATACACTTAACATCAATACACATAAAAGTATAATTTTTGTGAAAAAATCTTTTAAAAATTCACTAAATATCAAAAAAAAAAAAAAAACGAGAATTCAATATATTTTTCATATTTTTATATATTTATTAATTTTTTAAAATATTTTTTCATAAATTTTTTATTTTTTAGATACATCTAAGTACGGTGAATCTAAAAAAATAAAAAAATACTTAAAATTTTAAAAATATTCACTAAAAACAAAATAACACGAAAAAAAAATTCAATTTTCAAAAAACTTAATTCAAAAAACTCAAACCAAACACACACATTGATATTTTCTTTACTATTTATAATTTTTTTTTGTGAAAAGTAAAAAAATAATTCTCCAACATTCTCTATACAACTTTTACAATACATTTTAACTAAAATGTTATAAAAAGGTCAGTTTTCAAATAAATTTTCTTTTTTTGGTTGTGTTCAAATCAACCCTTAATCACCTTTTATTACCAAAAAAAAAAAAAGCAAGTAAAAAAATTTATTTTTAATAAAAATATGTAGCAATGTTGATCCAAAATATCTCGGGTGTTCAAGTTGGCCTCATCTTACGTCTTAACTAAGAAAGTGCGACACAAACCATATAATAACGTACAATGAGCCAAAGATTTAAAAGAAGAGTCTCGAGTGGCGACCAAGAAAACGAACCACAAAATAAAGTAAAAAATAAAAACAAATTCAAACAAAGAAAATTAATTTCTTAAAAAAATACATATGTAGCCTGTTCTTCATACGTTTGTTCAATTCCTTGCCTCTCCAAACCTAACAGAAAATCACTCTCTCTCTATATCTGCCCTAATATCACACTCCATTCCCATCCCAATCTCTCTCTACACTTCACCAACTCTCTCTGTCTCCATTGCATCTCTCTCTCTCTCTCTCTCTCTCTCGCATTCACAATAGATACATACATACTTTGACGGTTATTTGAGCGGTTGGGTTTTCTCGGATCCCTGTACGGGTCTACCCCGTCTGGCATATACGTCAACCTCACAGGAGGGAGGTAGAGGTAGGGTTGATTCTGTCTTTGTTTCTCTCTCTGCATCGCTTTCTATCTCTAGAATTTGTTTGAAACTCTAGGGTTTGGAAACTCGCAATCTAGGGTTTGTGATTGAGGTTTTTTTTTTTAATATTCTTGTTCGGTTTCAATTCACTTTCATCGTAGTCATTGGTCTATACTCGAAGTTGAACCTTGCACGAAATGAGGGTCTTGCGAGTGTTTTAAATTCGTCTCCAAATCCGTCTTTTTTATTGAAGATGGAGGGGTAGGGAAGCTTTTAGTAGTAATCTTATGTTGACATCTCGGCGGTGATGACACTTGTTATTGCCATTTCTGCTGTATTCGTCATCTGGCAACTTGTCTTGTTTTGATGGACGGAAACCTAGGTTTTATTTAAATATTTTTTGGAACTGTTTGAGGAATTGGGGGCAATTGCGTATGTGCATGGGTAGTGGTTATTAGGGAAAAGAAATTTGGGGGTTTGTGTCTGGATTTCTTGTGAAATCGAAAGATAACAAATTTGCGGGTGAAGGGTTAATATAAAGGCAAGCTAGCTGTTGTTTGGTGTTATATATGATCATGTTCACTTCTCATGGAAAAAAGTGAACCCACATTAGTTCCAGAATGGTTGAGAAGTACTGGAAGTGTCAGTGGGGGTGGCAATTCAGCCCACCATTTTGCGCCGTCTTTGCTCTCAGGTAGTGTTACTATTGCCGTTGTTTTGTTTTGCTTTGCATTTGATTTTGTTTTTACTCTGGTTTTTAGCATTTAGCATTTTTCATGTTTTTTATTATTGTAGATGTTCTTTCTCCAAGAAGTAGATGTTCTAGGAGTGTAAGTGATAAAGATACTCCTGCTTTGAACCAAACTTCTTCATCCAATTCTCGCCGTAGTTCAAGCAGTAATGGTGTTTCAAAGCATCCATATAGTAGTTTTAGTAGAAGTCATCGTGATAAAAACCGTGACAATTCATGAAGAGAGGTCTGTCATTGGGGACCTCTGGGAACATGATTGTTCTGATCCATTAGGTGACATCTTAATTAGTAAGGCTGAGAAGGATGCCTTGAGGCGTTCTCATTCACTAGTGTGTAGGAAACCTGGTGAGGTGTTACCTCGAAGAGCAGTGGACTCAAAAAACGGTGGTAGCAACACTGGCATACTTTCTGGAGGAATACTTGTTAGCAGCATCCAGAAAAATGCCTTTGAAAAAGATTTTCCCTCTCTTGGAACTGGAGAGAAGCAAGGAGTGCCTGATATAGGAAGAGTTTCATCTCCTGGTTTGAGCACGGCTGTACAGTGCTTGCCTATTGGCAATGCAGGCTTCATTGGTGGCGAGGGGTGGACCTCTGCTCTGGCAGAGGTGCCCAACATAATTGGCAGCAATAGCATGGGGCCCACAAGTGTGCTTGCAACCCCATCATCTGGGGCATCAAGTTCTATGGTAGGTCTTAACATGGCTGAGGCATTGTCACAGGCTCCATCTAAAGCTCGTACTACTCCCCAGGTAACTGTTAATTCTTCCTGGATAATTTGTAATGAACATCCAAGGACGGTCTAATGAGAGACATTTTTCTTAATCTGCAGCTACCGGATAAGACTCAGAGGCTTGAGGAATTAGCTAAAAAGCAATCCAGGCAATTAATACCCATGACACCCTCGATGCCCAAAGGCTTGGTAAGAGCACTTTTCATATTTGAGTTTCTTCGATAATTTTTCCTGTTCTCTGAATGGACCATCTTAAATTTTATATTTGTTAAACATATCTGATATAAAGCTCAGTTCCTGAGTACGAATACAGACACACATATGCCAACACAAATTTTTAAAAATTATAAGATATACATATGAGGAACATGCATAATATATAGCATTTGTTTATTTTGGCCTCTTTTTGTGTGTGAATGGCTTCTCCTTTTAATGACCTATACTTCAATTTGTAGGGATTGGAGAGCCATTTATAGAATGTGAGAATGCATTTTTTCTTATGAATTAGTGAATTTGGTTAATGTACATTGAATTTTGATCAGTCGTAAATTTGGTATTGCCAGGTTGAGTCACTAAGTTTTTGAGACAGAAAATGAGACAAACTTCAATTTAACCCACTTGTTTTACTCTGAACTTGTTTTTTATTTACTTTAGGTATCTCATATTCATGAATCATGAGGTTAAAATCCATGTATTATTTCCAGGATTCTGCCCAGATTCTTTTTCAATGCTGCGGGTTCAATTTATTAGAAAACAAATGATCAAGTGAAAAAAAGGAAAGAAATACAGATGCATACTTTTGTTTTCTTCACATGATGCTTTTAATTTTTTAAGTAACAAGACACCCTTTTCCAAGATAGTGTTGGTAATAGATATACATGCATACTTGCTAACACATAGACATATATGTGTGTATATATATATTATTGTTTCTATGTCACATTTGTGGTTTTGTATTATGCATAAATTTTGTAGTTTCCATGTCTTCTAATTGTGTTTGTCTCCATACACTATGAATTTCGTTGAGTGGTTATTTTGTTCTTCTTGTTTATTTCTTTAATTCTTGTGTTGGGGAATTAAGGGGTGGGTTTGTGTGTATGTGCATGGGTAGTGGTTATTATTAATGTTGGTGTTATAAGTGCAATGTGAATTACCACAATAATGTGGGTGAAAAGCATGAACACATAATTGGTGATCTTTCAATGATTTATATGTATATTACAACATGTTCAATTTCATTGATGGTATTGTAGGGGATTCAATTTTGCTACTTGGTTTAATTTCATTTTGTTTATTAGTCGATATACTCGTGTCATTATTGATGAAGCTCCCATTTTCAGTGGTATTATATTGCCTTGGCTAGTCATTGTTTTGAATGTTATCAATCATTTACACACTCTTGGTGGGTGACACTTGGCCACGTTTTATTACAAAATTTTCTTTTTTTTTTTTTTCTTTTTTTGGCTTTGTATAAATTCTTTATTCTACTCTCTTTCTTTTTTTAGCTACTCCTATATATATCTTTTTTGTAGACTGGTTATTATTAATGTACATGCTGTAAGCCTGTAACTTATTTGTACAAAGTGGATTACCACAATAATGGTTAGTGAGAAGCATGGACACAAAATTGATGTAGGGGAAGAGTGTAAGTTCCTTTTTGTGGATCAAGACATAGTGTGCACCCAAGTAAGGGAATGAGGCCTAGGGATTATGAGGTTGGGTATTTTTAATAAAGCCCATTGGGGAATTGGTTATGGAGATTTTCATAGTTATTGTAGAAGGGTGGTAGTGATTAAATATGGTACTTCATGGGGTATTGGATCATGGGAGGGGCATTTGGTAGGGGACTCAACTAGTTTGAGAAGATTTCCTGAAAATTTCATATTAAAGGTGAGGTGGGGTGAGGTTTTGGGGCCACAAGGGGTGTGGAGATGAGTAATTGGATATATTTTCCCTCAAATTTTCTACTAGCTATTAATAGAGAAACATTGATGTGTAGTGATGTCTTCTGGGACATTGGGCTGAGCAAGAACTTGCCTATTGGGAGGAGGATCAACTATCTAATCTTCTTTGCCTTCTTCAAAAGTACAGGGGCATTGGCAATGGTGAAGATTCCTCGTTGTGGATTGGAAATAGCAAAGGGAGATTTGATGTAAAGTCCTTCTATGGAGCTTTATGGGGAATAGAGGTGTGACTTTTCCGTTGAAAGTATTTAGTTTGTTGGAGCCCCTTCCAAGTTTGCTTTCTTTGTATGTAATTCGGCCCATGAGAAGATTCATATGGTTGACAATGTCATTAGAAGATTGATGAGGAGGCAGTTTCTCATTTTATTTTATTTTTATATTCACTTTTGGGTGCCAATTGTTGCATTGTTTGGCATGCAATGGGTCTTTGATAGTGATGTAAAAGGGGTTATAAACTTATATTTGATTGGTGGAATGGTAGTGTTGGGAGACGGGGGTTGAAAACATGGAGGCTAGGCTCCTTTTGTTTTTTCTGGAACTAAATTGCCTTTTTTTTTTCTTCTCTCTTTGAAAAAAAAATTCTGGCCATTATTGATAAAATTTCAATTTTCACTTGTATCAAACTGCCTTCACTAGTCATTTATTCCAACCTTCAGTTTTAGCCAAAAAGTTACTATAAGTTGTCACATCACTATCTCTACTTTTTTGCATATCTTTTTGTAAAAAGTCAAAAAGTTACTAAAATAGCCTGTTCCCAAAGGAGAATCATCAATCATTTAAACACTACTGGTGGTAATGTTTTATCCCTTTTCCTGGGTCTTTATAAATTCTGTACTTTTTTCTTACTACTTATAATCCCTATCTTTTTTTTACGAGTTATGGTGCAAATTTGCTATAGTACAACATTGTCAAAGCTGATTCTCTAGGCACCCTATGCTCTTAAGTCCTCAATGCATTTGCATGGGTCCATTGAATGGAGAACGAGCATAGGAAGAGTGAATCTGTGGGGACTTTCAGTTGAAGCCAAAACTTATTGGCCTATTGAGGCTTTCTTTTAGCATATGACAGTTGCTTTTGTATTGTGATACATTCTTTTGGTAAAAATTTAGGTGCAAATGCAACTCCGACAGCAAGGCAAGCATATTAGGAGGAAGGCTAGATATGGTGAAAGTTTTTTCAAAGTCCATGTGAAACTTTTGTTTGTTTTCCCCCTTTTTTTTGTTTTTGTTTTTGTTTTTGTTTTTGGGGAGGGGGACATTTACTATTGAATAGTGGCCCTGTTTGGTAGGGCTTATTTCTAACTTATTTCAGCTTTTTACTTAGGCCAAGTTTGGCATGAGGCAAAAAAGACTAAAAGTCAAAAAGTCACTATTCTATTTAAGTCACATCATCTTATTTAAGTCACACCACCTCTCTAACACATCACTTCAAACCCAACCCAAACCCAACCCATATTTCATAAAAAGTCAAAAAGTGCACTTATTTAGTCTTCCCAAACTAGGCCTTAATTTAAGTTATTTTGATGTGTTTGGTTCAGCTTAAGTCCATGTGAAACTTTTGTTTGTTTTCCCCCTTTTTTTTGTTTTTGTTTTTGTTTTTGTTTTTGGGGAGGGGGACATTTACTATTGAATAGTGGCCCTGTTTGGTAGGGCTTATTTCTAACTTATTTCAGCTTTTTACTTAATTTAAGTTATTTTGATGTGTTTGGTTCAGCTTAACAATACAGCTTATAGCTTTTTGTAAGTCAAAAATTAACTTATTCTTTGAGTGGGGGAGGAGAAGCTTAATTTATAAATCAAAAATCAACTTAAGTTCACACCTATAAGCTATAAGTTGTTAGGTTATAAGTTATAATCACTTTCCCACAGCTCTACCAAACGGGGCCATTGTAGTGAACCAGCGATGAAACTGTGACCAGCTGAATTAAAAGCTGTGCTTCTCATCTCACCTAAGAATTGTTAATCAGTTATATATGTAATTACAGTAGTTAGATTAGATGGTGCCAATCTTCAAATGTTCTTTGATTTGATTTTGTTTATTTTGATTATATTGTTTGTTTTGATCTGTGTGAAGTCTCCTTTGTTGATGTAATCATCCAAAGTTATTGGTATCTCTCATTTGTTTATATATGTCTTAAGCTGGGAATGGTATAAAATAATGTGGTATCACCACAAAAACTGCCCGCAGTATCCTCCCATATTGATTGAACGGAGAAGACATCATCTTGTAGGATTGTGCAATCTGTTATAGAAAAGGAACAAATCTTTGTTCTGTGGCTTTATTGTGAAAATTACAGTTATGCAAGTGTTGTGAAAAAAATCATTAGCAAGATGTGATATTTTTCTGATACATAATTGAACCATTATTCTTTTCATTTTCTTGTTCTGTTTACATGTGTCAATTCTTGGCTAAATTTATGAGAATTGTTTTTTGAGCCATCCGAACTTTGTGGATACTTGTAAAAGTTGGGAACAGACTATGTTTCCCTATTTGAAAAATGGCAATAGTTTATGTTGCATTTACTTAGTTAATTTGGTTCCATAGATTTGATGGCGGTGTTTGGGAAGCCAGATTTGGACTTTTTTTTGGCTAAAATCCGCAAAAAGATAAAATAGGCTAAAATAGCCAATAAGACAAAATATTACATCAAATCCATAATCATTTCACTTTTTCTCGCACAAATATCACATCTATTTACAAAAAAATCCAACACTCCAACTATCTTTCCAAACACAAAAATTTTTGCCTGCTAAAATAACCAAAAATTAAAATAGCCTACTAAAATAGCCAACTTCTCAAATGAGTCCAATATGTTCCAAGTTAGTTGTTTACAAGAATAATGCTATTTGTACCAATTAATGTACTAACTAATATACTAACAGATGATGTGACATAATTTTAGAGGTTTTGGGTATTTGTAATTTATATAATAGGTGGGGTCAGTAATAATGGCATAACACTAGTTGGTACACTAGTGTGTACATTAATTGGTGCATGTAGCACCATTGTGTTTACAGTTTTTGCCTCATCCAAGAAGCACAGACACATGGCATGATATGGACATGCTGACATGGAAATTTTCAAAAAGTATAGGACACAACATTGACACATATGAGACGTGCAAAATTTATAGTTTTTATATTTTTATTGTATGTCATATATAAGGATATATAGTTATTATGTCATATTATATATGGGAATATTTGAGTCAAATATAATAATTATTGAAGTCTAAAGGAGGGGAATATATATAAATTTACTTTGTCTTTGTTTTATTATTGGATTTCAAGGTTATTTTATTTGAACTCGTAATGTGTCTCATGTGTGTCCGAGTGTTGGGAAGTGTCCGGACGCGACATGCTACTTTCTTAGAAGTGTCCGTGCTTCTTAGGGAGAAACAAATGGTTTGTATGATTATTGAATAACCAATTAGCATCTGCCTTGTGTTTTCAGGTTCTTAGTTCTGATAAATCAAAGTCTAAAACGGTGGTGAGAACCAGTGAGATGATTGTGGCTTCCAAGAGTGTGCAGCCGCAGCCCCACTCATCCCAACTTGCTAATCAATCTCTTCGTGGTGGACAAGTCAGATCTGATGCTTCAAGGTCATCTCATGCCGGGAAGTTTCTTGTACTCAAGTCAGTGTGGGAGAACGGTGTCTCCTCTTCGACAAAGGATGTATCTAGCCCAACTAACAATGCCAGCAGAGTAGCAAACAGTCAGCTTGTTCCTGCTTCGGTGGCCCCTTCCATTCCTTTGAAGAGCCCAAATAAGCTTTCCACCGTTGAAAGTAAGGTAGCTGCTGTGGCTCTAAATTCTGGATCTTGTGTGGAAAAGAGACCCTCCCTGTCTCAGGCTCAAAGCCGGAATGATTTTTTCAATCTCATGAGGAAGAAAACATCAATGAACACTTCTTCCGTCCTCCCAGATTCAAGGGTGGCTTTCTCGTCTCCCACTGTGGAGAAATCTGGTGTAGTAGTCGAGGGAGTTAGTGCTCCTGTAAGTCCTTGTGTTACTGAGAACGGTAGTGAAGTGACTAGCAATGGGGATATTCATGAAAGGGAGAGAAGTTTGTGCCTTAACGGAGCAGTTTATCCAGATGAGGAAGAGGCTGCATTTCTTCGTTCTCTTGGTTGGGAGGAAAATGATGGAGAAGATGATGGCCTTACAGAGGAGGAGATCAATGCGTTTTATGAGGAGGTAACAAGCTCTACTTTGATGTAGTTTACAGTGCCCCCCAGCCCCCCTTCAAAATTCTAAAAAGTAAAAAAAGAATGCTTATGTGGCTGCTTATAATTATTATTTTTTTAATATTTTATTTGGAGATTTGTGTCGGAGTGTTTGGTGCAAATTCTACTTACAATTTATGAGGCAAAAATAACTTCAACTAAGCTGAAAAAACTGATTATTGAGAAATGAGGGAAGAGTTGCTTTTAGATTAACTGGACAACACTGTTTATCGCCTTCTTTGTTTTATCTTTTTATTTGGCTGGTCTAAGTCTTTTAGTGTGCGATTAAATCCAGTTGGGGTTATCTTCAAATTCTTAACATCATGGTCAATAGATAATTTCCGGATCCTATTAGAAACAAGGATTTTACAGCAATGTATACGGGTTTTATTTTTTTTATTTTGATTAGTTGAAATGGATAAAGCATTTTACCCATTTTCTGTTTGTTTTTTCTCTGATACAGTGCATGAAACTGAGGCCATCCTTGAAACTGTGTAGAGGATTGAAGCTGAAACTTCCAATGCTTACTGAATCTCACACGACTGGTTCAAGCAGAGCATCTTCCGAATTGAGCTTGTCTGAATCTGAAACCGAAGCAAGAATCTACTGATTTCTCTCACATACAGTTACTGGAAAGTTACAAGTTTTGTTGGCAGATGATTTTATTTCTCTCTTCTTTTTTTTACCACATCTCTTTGTTTTGGAGGAAAAGCTGCTGACAAGCAGGGGCATGAAAGCAGTGGATAGATCAGATATGTTGTCTGCGGTTTGAACGGTATTACAATAAGTTACAGAAGTCCCCATATTGCCTTCTAAAACTGGGGATATTTTTTTGGGGTTTTAAGGCTGGCTAGAAAGATGGTAGGTTAGGGGGATGATGAGCTAGTCTGCTGTGGGCGACTTTGGGTAAATTTTTTTTCCTTTTTTTGGGAGACGGAAAAATTTTAGCCAGAAAAGCTTTGTGGTGTTCTTCTGGCCAGTGGTCAATTTTACAGGGAAAAGAAATAGAAGGCATGAAGTTCTTTCTATTTTGTGTTTTTTGGGTTTCTCTTTTTATTGCTTAGTTAATGTTATGTCTTTTTATTTTTTTTTTAAAGTCTTTTGTATATGGCGGCCGTTCATGACGGCCGCAACTGATTTAGAATGAATCTGATGGTAAAAGAAGAAATCAGTTGAGAAAAAAAAAAAAGGTTGGAAAGATGAAATCAATCATTTGATGGAATCACATTTGCATTAATCCTTAAACCAAGAGAAACAATTGAAAGAAAGTTTGGGCCCCAAGAAAAATACCTATGTATATTTATGTTTGTTTTCACAAAGCTTATTATTTTGAACTTAAAACCATGGTCTTTTGGTACCATGTTCAGTTCTTATTTATAACTGTTTTAATTTGTTCAATACAAAAGTAAGGTCTTAACAATGTATAAATGGATAAACAGGGCTTATGTTGGGATAGAACAGCCCCCAGTTTTGCTCAATCCCATTAGGTTTTTTATTCTCGTTGAACATTGCAAATATGAATGTGTCCATGATCCCGCCAGGCTTCCTCGGTGTCCCTTGCCTCGTGACATGGTTCAGAAGGTTTCTGTTGTATGTTTGCGCATTGGCTATGCTCGTGTAAGGACTGTTCCCAGCAGTTGGCCAACCGGTCTCTGACACAGCAATAGGAACACTGCCTGCACCGATCCTCTTCAATGCCACGTAGTAAGCATCAACCATGGCATCAAAGAGGCTGAAGTACTGGAATTGCCCATCTACAATTGGTGTTCTTGCTCTGAACATGGCATAGTCTAATGAAATGTGAGCTGGGTCTGAGGCATAGGCGAAATATGGGTACACATTGAGCATGATGGGTGCACCGGTTTGCTTCAAAACAAATGTCACATTTCTCATCACTGCAGTTGTTTCACTAGTGAAGGCTCCTGCAGAAGGAGGGTAAGAACTGGCTAGGATCATAGAAGTGACTGTGGTCACCTTTATCCCAGTTAGGCCGATCGATCTGAGAGCATTCTGGATGTTGATTATGGCCGGTGCAACGTGTGTGGCATAAGGTCCCGGGATTACCTGTAACATTCCGTCAGACATCGGTTAGGTAAGAAAAGTTTGTAAGTGAGTTTGTAAGAAAAGTGCCAAGTTTGGCATGATTGAAAAAAGACAAAAAGTCACAATCCTATTTAAGTCACATCATCTTATTTAAGTCACATCACCTCTCTAACACATCACTTCAAACCCAACCCATATTTCATAAAAAGTCAAAAATTGCACTTATTTAGTCTTCCCAAACTAGGCCTAGTAAATATTTATTTTTTTTTTTTTTGTAGCATTTTTCTTAGGGTTTTGATGCGAACTATTCAAATTCAAAACTTACGTTATGAAAATAATGGTTTATGCATGAGTTTATTACTAATATGAGCTTCCATTTTGGATTTTCACCCTGTTCATTTCATAAATAAAATGAAGATCTCTATTTCATTTATTAATAAGATTGTAGCACGTCATCAAAATATAAAATCAACAGTTTATAATTATAATATCATTATAAGTTTTATCTCCACCCTTGATTGTTTCTTAAGTTAGGGTTACTTTGACAATTATTTATTTAGAAGTTTGTTTGTTTGTTTGTTTTTTTTGTGGATAGTCCAATGTTTGGTAGGAAAAATGAAGATCGGACTATTAGTCCCAATCCCATGGGGAGGGGTGTGTGGGATAGAAATGGGAGAATTGAGCCAATCTCCGATTAACCAGTTAAATAACAAAATTAATCCTCAAGTATATATAAAATTTCTTTCCTTCATTTTAATTTTTTTTTAAACATGTTGAATTATTTTAGATTTATGTAAATTTAATCTCATGATATATAATAGTTTTCTCTTACTTTTTTCTTTTCTTTTTTGTATTAGCAAAATCATAAATGTAAATATATTTTTAATGTCGTATTTAAATAAATTAAAAGTGTTTTTTGAAATAAAATAAAATATATTTCAAATAAAAATTAAATTAAATATACTTTAGAATAAATAAAATATATTATACTTCAAATTTAAGTATTGTCATTGTAAACAATTTAAACAATATATTTCATAATTTTTAAATCAAACATGAGATTCATTAAAATAGTCATTTCCATACATTTAATCCCATCAGTAAATAAACATAGGATACACATCATTTTTAGTGAAATAATTTAGGGACTATGTATTCCAAGACTATCAGTCTGTTGTATTACAATCCCCAATTATCCAATCTATCTAAACAAACACGATCTTAGATCATGTAAAACTATAAGTACCTAAAAAAAAGAGACTTACGTATAAGTCCTACTAAGTGGACTTATTGTCTAATAGGTCCTATGATAATTAATGAAATTTTTCATTATATACTATTAAAAAAGTCACTAATTGTTAATTTTCAGCGACATTTTAAAAATTTTGTCACAAAACATGTAACCAATTTTAAGTTTTAGCGACAGTTTAAAGAAATCGTCACAAAAAACGTTACTATTTTTTGACTTTTAGTGACAACTTAAAAAAATTGTTAGAAAAATTACTAATTATAAGTTTTAGAAATAAAATTTATGAAAATCGTGACCAAAAAAAGTCACCAATTATTAATTTTTAGCGACATGCAAAAAATCGTCACAAAAAATTATTTTTAACGATGATTGTACTACGTCTTATTTTCAATAGGACTTGATGATAATTAAGTCCAACTATTATGATCTATTGGTAGTTTATCCAAAAAAAATTGGCACAAACTTACCCCAAAAAAAAAACTGAAAACAAAAAAATTCAAAATCAAATGACTCTTTTGACCTTTACCCAACAGGGCCTTAAAATTAAAATTGGTTGACATGAATCTTTTATTGCCATTGATAATGGAATGGAAACGTCCTCAAAATGTTTAACAACTTATTTTGAAGTCGTAAAGACCTAACTCAAAACACAAATGGTTTTGGTGGTATTTGTGATAATCTAAATAAGTATATTTTTTAATTTTTTATAAAAATATATGTAGAAAAATAGAGAGGTGATGTAACCTAAATAAGTGTATTTATATAAGTTATGCCAAACACTCCTTATTACGATTCGGCATGAGTGGGATAGAATATTACCTCATTGCCTAAAGTGATCCAATTGATGTTGATATTGTTTCTGTAAGGAGCTACATTGGTATTAACCCATGAATTTGCAGCAGCTTGGCTTGAAGCAAGGCTCGGTAAATCTTCATTTCTGGTACCAACTGAGACTCGAAGATTTGAACCTCTCAATGCATCAAGAACTTGAGGGCTTGGATCATAAATCCTGAGGGATTCAATTCCACACCTCTTGTAAAGGTTTATTACATCTCTTGGAGCTGGAAGATTGTTTCCAAGCCTCCCATAGTCGACCCCGATGTGGACGGCATCTGCAATATCACAACAACAATAGTTTTGTTACGAACATAAAAATCGATAACAAAAAGCTTTAGTTAAAAATACAAATCGATAACAAAAAACTCTAGTTAAAAATACGCATGATTAGCCTTGAAGAGTTGAGAGCTTTAAGCTAAACTTGTAAATACGGAAATAGAAAAGAAGAGATATTATTTACTACCGTTAATGCCAGTGACGTGACAATGGCACAAGTGGACACACGAGGACTAATTTTTTGAAAACGAAATATATAATTTATTTATTTTTTATTGTATGAATATATTTTGGAGTGTTATTTTGGTGTTGCAGATCGATTCAACTTGTTTGGTTTGATTTTCCAATTCTTAAAAATTAGTTTAGTGAAAAAAATTATTAAAAGATAAAACAAACTCAATATTTTCATAGTTTTCTCTTGTGATTATTTTTGTTAAACTAGTTTTTATTTTTTTTATTTTTATAAAAAAGAGAACATAAAATTTGAAAACAAAATTAAATAGAGTGATTCCAATCGTTCAGGACTAGCTTTTTGTAAGTTTTGTTTAAATTTTAAAATTATAGAGTAATTTTTGAAGAGAAAGAAAAGAAAAGTGTACAAATTTATTTTATTAAAAAATGTCATTTTCATTTTTCCCTCTTTTAATTATTCACGATTCAAACACAATGGTAAGAAAAGCTTAACAAGAGAAAAAAGGATAATCCCATTTTAATTTTTTTTTCCAGGTCCATCTTGCGTAGAATGATCAAAATAATAATAATAATAATAATAATAATTTTCACTAAAGATAAAGACAAAAAAAAAAAAAGCCCACCAATTTATTTATTAATTTTTTGTACTCTTTTGGTCTATCTAAAAATGTAAAAAATATTAGAATTTTTAAATTATTTTTTATAAAAAAAAAAACACAGTAAAAAGTCATTTTTGGACCTTCAAATAAGTGTCAACAAGATAATTTAGAATAGGATTTAGACTAGATCGTGTTGTTTGGGTCCATGGGGTCCAGTAGGGGTCCTGTTTCAATAATTTTAACCGTTCAATGTGTACAACTCGTCGAGTATTTTATACTTGTAAAAAAAATCACATTGATTGGATATCGATAGCTACTTGATCAGATCAGATTTCTGTCACTAATTTACTTTGAAAATCATATTTATCGTTGACAGAAATATGAAATACTCGACAAGTTTTATGTATTGAACAGTTCGAATTATCGAAATCGGATCCAACAACATATTCTAGTCCGATTTCAAACTAGAAATAAGGCTGGTCATTTGAAATCTTACCAGCAAAGAGAAGTAATTGGGCTGTTATTATTGACACAAAGATGAACGAGTGCTCCATCATATATCTATGGTCTAAATACCTTGCTAATAACAAAATGCACAAGTGAAAATTAGTTTGAATATTAAGCTCAATAATGCAAGAGGCTAGGGAGATCATGTCATATATACATTACGCTGGCCTAGTTTTTGGAACCCTTGAGTGTGAAATCAATGAATCCATTTCATTGAAGGGGTTTCCTAATTAAGGTCTCGTTTGGTAAGTGATTTTTTTAGTCAAAAAGTTATTAAAAAAATTAAAAAGTCAACAACCATATTAAAAAGTCAAAAATTCTCTTTTCTCTTTACTTTTTGCATATCTTTTCGTAAAAAGTCAAAAAGTCATCCCAATCATACTAGTTTTTTTTAGCTCATATTTTAACCAAATAGTCAAAAAGTTACTAAATTAATCTGTTCCCAAACAAGGCCTTAAGAGTATTGATGGTTTCCTAATTAAGTTATGAGTAATGATATATAAATAGAGGGTTTGACTTCTCTTAAATTATTATTTTAATTTGAGAAAGTGTTTGGATTTACCAAGTTTATTTTAGAATTGATTTAAGTGATTTGAATAGTTTACTTTTTAAGATTTGTTGAGTAGAATATTAATGTAAAAAATCAAGATAATTGGATATCGATAGTTATATGTTTAAGTCATATTTGTTTTTAAAAAATAGATTACAAATATAATTTCAAGAATCGTCATCTATTTTTTGTAATACAATTTTGATTCAAACATATAATTACCGATATCCAATCATCTTGATTTTTTGAATAAATATTTTACTCCACAAGTTATAAAAAGTGAACGATTCAAATCACTAAAATCGGTTCTAAAATAGAATTATTAAACCCAAACGCTTTCCCATGTTAAGATGAGCAATATGAGAGAAATTTAACCTATAAATAAAAAATATATAATATAGAATGATAATAATTTTTGATCCTAATATGTAGAATCTAGAGTCTAGAATCGTTTAGGAATTATCTTTAAAGGACTATTGTATGCAAATTGAGAGTTGTAAGGGTCAACTTTTAAGATTAGGGTCCTTAATTTTTAGAATAATTCTATGTGTACATAATTTAAATATAGAATAAGACATAACTCTTTTATAAGGGATGAGGTCTACATGTGGGGGATTCACATGTGAGACCTATCTCTTATGAAAGAGTTGTGTCTCATTCTATATTTAGATTCTGTATTCTTAGTATTATCGTAATTTTTGAGGTTAATAAACTTTAGATTTCACAATTTTTAAGAAATGAATATATTAGAAAATCCTATATCAAGTACTTGTATCTTAATTACTCCATAAAATATTTTTATATTCTAATAAGTTCTATTATTTTGAACATTTAATCTATCAAATCCTAATTCTTATATTTAAGAAAATTTATAAACAATTTTACTGTTAAAATTTTTTTTTGAATCCTTAGTAACTTGGTGTGCACTATTTTGGACTATTTTGAATCCTTAAAAACATTCACACTGTCAAATTTATTTAATGTGAATATTTACATTATGAAATATTCACAATCAATGTGAACATTAATAAGCATTTTATCCTATTATTATTAGGGGTGTTTTGGTAACTATGTCACCCATATGACTTATTGAAATATAAGAAAATAATTTAAATTAAGTAGAATATAACTAAGTGAAGAAGAGTTTGTCAATAAATACCATTTTTAATATTTAATGTTATATGTTAGGCCTCTTAAGTTTTTTACCTTCTAAAATTGTAATGCCGTTAAGGGAAAAAAAAAAAGAAAAGGAAGCCATGGTAAGTGCTCATAAATGTAAAATATACCAAGGTCCCCTAATTGTCTACGTCAATTTTTCATTTCAAAAGAAAACTAACTAATAAACTATCACTCGGATTTTTCATTTTGATAAACTAACCGTTAAAATCTGATGACAATTATAGTTGTCAAATTTCAAGCTTCTTGGAGTTAAAAGAGTTGTCTCATCCATAGGGGTGCAACTCGGGCGGGCTCAACCCGAGCAACCCGAGCTCAGCCCGAGTTTTTTTAGGGCTTGGGCAACTATATCTTGTAATCTGGACGGATTTGGGCAAAATTACCAAGGTCCCCTAATTGTCTACGTCAATTTTTCATTTCAAAAGAAAACTAACTAATAAACTATCACTCGGATTTTTCATTTTGATAAACTAACCGTTAAAATCTGATGACAATTATAGTTGTCAAATTTCAAGCTTCTTGGAGTTAAAAGAGTTGTCTCATCCATATATTTACATTTATATTTCTTATTTGGAGTACATAAAAACATCTCCACATCTAATTGATTGACATGAAATTTAGCATGTATGATGCCATATATGTAGTCTAACAATTAGTTTATTGTTATTGTTATTTTATTTTATTTTATTATAAAAAAAAGAAGAGGCTTTCCCTTTCAAACTTTTAATTATCTTTCATGCATTTTTATGCCCAATGATCAAATTAGGAATTTGGTGTATAAATTACCCACCTTCATGAAATGTTTTCTCAATAACACTAGTTAGGTTTTAATGTCAGATAATGTTAGAGATACAAATTTTTTCACTAAATAAATGGTTAAATATCTCACATGAATATGAGATCTATAATTTATAAACTTCACATCTATATAAGATATTTAATCATTTATTTTGTAAAAATTTCAGAACTTATAACATTTTTCTTTGATGCCCCTCTTTCAAATCCAAGCATATCCTACTTTTTTGCTAAAGTGTAAATAGAACTCTCGTTAAAAATATGTATGATTGGAAGAGTTGAGAGCTTGAAGTCAAATTTGTAGACACCAAAATGGAAAAGAGGAGCAATTATTTACAACTAATAATGCTTGAGATCATTAAAAGTGATGTTTTAAAAGTATCATTAGTAATATGACAGTGGACGGGACTCATGCTTGTGTCTTGTTTTTTTTTTATTTATTTATTTAAAGTACTTGCTAACTTATTAATGGTACTTTAGATTATCATTTTTAATAAGATGTATCGTTACCGTATTTACCACCATTAATGCCAGTGACGTGACAAACAATGGTACAACTGGGCAGGCGAGGACTAATTTTTTGAAAGTGAAATATAATTTTTTTATTTTTTATTATATGAACATATTTTGGAGTGTTATTTTGTCGATGGATTCATCTTGTTTGGTTTGATTTTTAAATTCTTAAAAATTAGTTTAGGTACCGTTTGGGAAGAGATTTTGTGGGTTTTTTTTGATTATTTTAGTTACAAAAGACAAAATAGGTTATTTTAGCCATAATAAACAAAACATCACATCCAATCATAATCATTACATTCTTCTCTTACAGAAAAAGTTAAAAAAGTCAAAAAGTCCTTTCCAAACCAAGCTTTTTAGCCAGGCTAAAATAGTCAAAAAGTCAACCCACTTTCCAAACCAACCCTCAGTGAATCAAATTATCAAGGGTAAATTACAAGTACATATCCTGAGGTTTAATTAAAATACAAGTTATCTCTGCGATTTTAAAAATTACAAATATCCCATTACCATAATTTTTTATCTAACAGAATTAACAAAAAAAATGAAATTCATAATTATTTTCCTATACAATAATAAAATTACTTAAATTATTAATTGAAACATATTTTTAATAGCATTAAAAACTGTTAATTGACTTGATAATTTATTAATAAAATAGGCGATT